ATGTTGGAATACCACAGGGTATCGGGCCTAGAAGAGAGTTCTGTGCTATGTTTATCCTCTCTAGCTTGATGCAGGTCTATTGAATCACAGCGATTCTTCACGATTCTTCAATCACCTCTGTATTCATCTAATAGCAATATAGCCCAGCTGAAATTTCATTGTCTCCTTTACTACAATCACATTGCAGATGTTTCTGAACTGAATACTTTCATGAAGTCACAGTACATTATGCATACATTCTCACAATCAACTAAACTGGCTTATCTACAAAAGGGGGGCAAAAAGTTGATTAACATGGTTGATAAATAATAAATACGCGTTGGTTCCTATCATTCAGCAGCTCTTTCCTATTGATTACAGTCAAATCTAGAAGAGCTTATCACTCTTGTGCTTCCCCCCCCCCCCGACTTTTGAAAAATAAAATAAAACAGTCAGCAAGACCACTAAGAAATGTTGGGGGCAGTGGTGGGATTCAGCCAGTTCGCACCACTTCAGGAGAACGGGTTGTTAACTTTCTGAGCAGTTTGGCAAACTGGTTGTTGGAAGAAATGATAAGGGCAGAGAACCGGTTGTTAAATTACTTGAATCTCACCACTGGTTGGGGGCCTTGCAATCTTGGCACTGTGGATTTTCAAGAGCTGTCACACATTTACCCTGATTCTCCTGTGACAAAATTCTGTAATCTATTCCAGTTCATCTGCTGGGCATGTTGGTCTGGGAATGGGACAATTTGCTATAGCCAATTTTCTGCGGCCAACTTGCCACAGTGAACTTGCAACGGGCAAATTCACTACAGCCAGCTCGCTGCAAGACAACTCATTGTGGGACAATTTAACAATTCTATTTAATTTAAACTAAATAAAAATTATTTTAATTTTTGCCATTCACATTTCATTCTGTCCCTCCTTTTGCATCCTTTCTTTAATGATTCTATTCTACCATTTCTTTGATATTAGTGTAACTCTTGTCCCACATCGAGTTGTCCTGTGGTGAGATGGCCATGGTGAGTTGTCCTACAGCGAGTGGGCTGTGGCAGGTTGGTCATGGTGAGCTGGCTGTGATGAATTGTGATAGACTCTGTTGGTCTGAATCATCTGTATCACTACAATATTATCTCTGTTGTTTCCACTTTCTTCTATCTTTATTCAAATGTCCTTTTGTCTTCCTACATTAAGATCCAGTTTCTCATGCTGTAGTCTATGCATTTGTGTAGGACACTAGGATAGGACGTATCTTATTCCTTCCTAATTACATGCACTTTTTTTTTCTTTCTGGGTTGCTGGATTTGTTTTCTGCTTCCGAAGCTTCCTCAACCAGGTCAGAAGTAAGCAATGCTCCAATCAGCAGCATTCAGTCAACAGTCACTTTCCCTCCTAGATTCGTATTCCTTCTGTTACCTTTTCTGTCTCCTCAGTTGAACTCTGCCAATTTGTTCACTCATCAACCTTGGATCACATTTCTTCTGCCAGTAACTGACACCAGAAGAAACATTTCCCACCTGCTCCCTTCATTCCCGCTACTTCATGAGGAGACAGAACCCTCATTCTGCTTCACTGCCAAAGTAGAGTAGGAGTAGAAAGAGCAGCGAGTGCTTCTTTAAGCAAGTCTACTTATCTATCATGGTTCCCACATGCATAACAGCACTTCAGTGCTCCTATAGCTAAGAACTCTATACTGTATATATCAACAAAATCAACAGAAAGGATCTAGACCCAGTTTGGTCTAGTGGATGAGGTACCAGGCAAGAAAGTTTTAGTCCCACCTTAGTCATGAAAGCCAGCTGGGTGATTTTGGGCCAGTCACTCTCACTCAGCCCACCTTAATCTCGCAGGATTGTTGTTGTGGGGAAAATAGGAGGAGGAAAGTGTATTAGATATGTTTGCCACCTTGAATTATGTGTAGAAATAATAAAGGTGGGATACAAACAAACAAGCAAGCAATAGCTATTGCAAATTGCTGAGAATCACCAAGCCATTAAGCTGAATCCAGAATTTGTATTTTCCTTTTATTCAAACCCAGTGTCAACTTTGAATCGAAGCTGGCTGAAGCCATCTTGTGCTGCTTCACAGTTGCCACACACTATGGGGGAGGATGAGGGGGAAATAGCTAGATTGTCTCATAGACAAAATAAGGAGTTCTCCTGTGGGAACCAAGGTCATCCCAACAGGTGGCAGTAGGAGGAGGAGTGGAAGTGATCGAGGGAGCCCGCCAACTGCTTTGATTGGACAATGTAACCTGTGACACCTGGGAAGGGAAACTTTTGCTCATTTAATTATATGGTAACTGTGGGAAACTTTTAGAGTTGGTTTTCACTAGCTGTGCCGATACGATGTGTACAATGTACATGTTCTCTGAGGAATGTTCCTGCCTTGGAGTTCTGATTTCTTTGGATGCATTACTCAGAACGCTGACACCCAGCACCCACATTTCTTATGTCTTCCTCGGTAATGATAATCAGGCCTTTGTTTCCTACACTCACTAGTAAGTGGCATTTTTTTTGCTTATCTTCGATTCACTCTGCTTTGGGAATTTCTAGTTATTAGCCAGTTCCCCCAAAGAGGTTTACAAGAAATATAATCAATTATAATAAGAATATGTTAAGAGTAAGAATACAATAAGAATTAAATATTAAGCATTTCATAAAATAAAGTATAAAACACAACAAGAATAAAAAGATTACTTTAAAAGAAATAAATTTCTAGGATTTTCCCACAGAGCATTTGGCAGTAATTGCTTTGTGGGGGAAGAAAAGGAAAGCATCCTGCTGAGTAGATCTCTGTAGGGCTGCTGTTGCCTGCCACCTTCCCTTTATAGGAAAATTTATTTCCTATAACTACATGAGTATGCCACCCATTTCCTTTCAATTTACAGGCTTATTCTTATATCATTGTTGAAAACTCCTATTTATTATCAGGAACAGGAATGGTAAAGTTTTGTGAATTTATTTCACTAAAGGTTTATGCCTTAATAAAATTAATAGTCCCGCAAATGCTGTAATATCTATGTCTATGGGTGATTTGCAAGACAGCTTTTCTTGGAACTAGGGTCTCCAACTTAACACTTTCCTGTTCTTGGAAGTACAGTTACTACTCTGAACGGCATGAAATTAGGGAAGACTGACCTTGATGGTTTTATGCATATCCATGGTCTAATTACACACAAGTGGATCTCCAAATGAACTGGATCTAGTTACACACAAGTGGATCTCCAAATGAACTGACTTAGATATTGGAAATCTTGATGAGTGATACAGAAGTAATTTATCAATGCCCTTCCCATTTACATGTTGTGAACTGTGTACACTGGACTGCACCAAAAGCTGAGTTAGCACACACCTTTTTCATCAGAAGGTGAAAAGTTATTTTCCATAGAAAAAATCTTGAATTGTTATACAAGGCTATCACATTAGGGTAGGGAACCTGACCATAGCCTCATTCATGTATAACATGCCAGGCAAATATGCCAGGATTTTTGACCTCCTGAGATGGTGGCGACTGAAGAAATACTTCCTTCAACTAAACATAATTATGAATTGCTCTTATGCAACACCAGATCGTTAGATGATTGTCTCCTTCTAGCTAACATTATAGCCAACAATGAAAAGAAACACGAATCTCACAATGTAATAACATTTCATAGATAAATGCATCCAAAAACAACATGAGATGTGCCAAATCTAGCCCAATTCTTTTATAACTAGGCACCCCATTAGATAGAAATAGGCCTTTCCCCAAAGTCATAAAGAACAAGAGTTACAAGTCAAACTGATAGGCAAGAGGAAATAAAGCATCAAATCACCTAAACCTCCAATTATTTTTGCACGTCTGATTTTTTCTAGACTAGAACAGTGAATTCATTGTATAAGCCAAAAGAAATACCACAACAATGAACACATCTCAACATTTTGTGCATTTTCTTCCTTACTGGTAGGTATGATATATTTCTATTAAAACATTACAAAACCCCTTGAAAGCTCTCTCCTCCTCTCATGTTGTTTTTGGACATATTTATCTATGACATGTTATCACATTGTGAGATTCCTGTTTATTTTCATTATGGGCCATAACATTAGCTAGAATGAGAAAATCATCTAAGGACCTGGTATTGAGTAACAGGAAAACAGAGAAAATGACTAGGTTATTATTTATTTTTACTGCCTGGGAAGACGAATTTCTTGTGGGATTTTCTGGATCAGATGTCCAAATAATTTGGCTTAGTATTCTGCATTATGGTGATAGGAAATATTTGCTGTTCTCTGTCAGACATCAAAGTCTTTTGAGTTAAATTCTGGCCCCTGTAGGGGATGGGAGTCATTATGATAGATTGATGCATGGCCCAATATATGCTTAAATGTTATAGGATAAAGGATGAACTCAAAATGGTGATGCCATCTATGGTAGCATTATTATGTAGCTTTGCGGTTTTTTAATAAGCTCTAAAGGAATTTGTAATGCAAATAATATAACTCATTTTGTGGACATTTCTTACTGTGTAATTTCATCTACAATGGAATCAAAGAAAGAACATTGTTACATTTGATTATTTGATTACAAGCATTGTGAAATCTTTGCCTTTGCCCAGAAATCAATCTTTCACTGGCTAACTCCTAATAGAAAACTGAACATGTTGTGCCCCTGACACAACTGCCTCCAGTGTCTTTTATCCTCCTCTTTGGGAGACAATGTGATGGTTTCATTTTTTTAAAAAAAGATTAATCTCTCTCCTGCTGAGCATGAACAGTACTACGTCTATCAAATATTTCTGAGCAGCTCAAAGAGCAATAATAGACTTTTTTAAAAAAAAGAATAAACACATCAAAGTTAAAAGAATGGTCATGGTAAAATCTGAAATTTTCTGGCACATTGCTTTGCATCAGAGGAATTATCCATTTCCAAGAAAAAGACACTTTTGGGCTGAAACTGGTGCCTATATAGAATTTTTCCTTCATTTCCATGTTAACAAAAAAAAAACCTTTTGGACAGATAAAAAGGAGTACTTACATTAACCCACTTTATAATTATGGATCCTGGGAATATAGTGTAACATCCTGGTCTATTAATTACAAAATTATTAGTCACAGATTTTGGGCATCCAGTTTGTGGGAAACAGCATGCTTTATTTTGGAATTCCTTTTCTTTTTCAGACAACCAGTAAACCAAAAGGCCACAAGGATATGAACTAAGAGTAGAAGAGAAGAGAAAGCAAACTTAAGCTTCCAGGTTTGAGAAGAAAATTTATTCCCAATTTCAAACACAGCACCAAATTTATCAATAAACAAGCAAAAGCTCTGTGTATTACACTACCACCAATCCTTGAATATTTAACTGTATGCATAGATATGCCTTTACGTATATTCTCCAGTCACATTTAATTGAACACGATACACTCTGGAAACATTTTCCACAAAAGCATCAATTTTTCACTGAAAGTAGCAAAATAATACTTCCCCTATAGCTAAGGGAAAAGTAAAGGCTCCCTTTACCCAATAGCCTTGTGGAAAAACTGTTCTAATGACATATATCTCATATTAAAGTGGGACATGCTTCTGATCTACCAACAGGAATGTACAACAGTCTTATAAGTATTCCATTTACCAGTGCTTTTAACTTCTTGTAAAACAAGATGACTACATTCCTTTTTTTAAAAAAAATGTTGAGGTTTCAGTATAAAGAACTCACTCACCCTTTGCTTAATAAATGTTTAAACTACTACATTATTTAAGGGTCATTGCATTCCTTATTAAGCATCATTTCCTTAACTGCTATCTCTTAAAAAAATAAATCTGTGAACCTTATATAAAAATTCAGTTACTTGATCCTTATGGTTTAAAAATTTAGGACACCACCACAAGTTCATAAAATTAAAAGTTGTTGACTAAAGTAATAAAGTGTTTTTCAAGTGGAAAGATAAAGTGCTTTAAAGGTGCTCTTCTTAAATTACATAGGTGTATTTATTCTTCCTCTTAATTACAGCATCATCAGAAAATCCGAGGGAACAGATTAGTGACAAATGATCCACAAAATCTATCTTTATGTGGTTGCTAAAAGTCAACATTGACTTGATGGCACATTTGATTATGAATTTATTCTTCTAATATAAAAAGACTTTTTATCAGCTCAATAAGCTCCCAATAGCCTTTCTTTCTAACAATTATTCTAACCCACTCTAAGTAAGAAAATCTACCATGCAGGAGTCTTTCTCTGTGTGAAGACCCTTCCTTGGTTCTGACCTTCATGATTTTGTTTCCTCTTTGAAGCTTTGCCAGAGTTTTTCCTTCTTCAACCACCAGAAACCCTCTTTGGCTTTGATCAAATTTGCTTTCCTCACAGCTACCACTTCTGCTGTCTTCAGCCTCTAAATCTAGTCCTCCTTAAATTAGAGGACAAGTCTAATTGTCTTAGCCAGGCAGAGAATCAAACTGCCTTCTCTCATTTTTTTCCCCTTTTAGTTGTGAATTTGGAACCACTTTCCTATGGCAACAGTGACTACATAGACACAACAGTGGCAAACCAGACACTTCAAATACATAGTGATAATGTAACCTCCCTCTGAGGTTAGAAAATAGAAACAATCTGAAATACAAACAAATAGAAAATAATAATGTTAATAGTGTTAACTCAAAGCTTCCCTCAAGGAACACAAAAATGCAAAATTAATTTCATACTAACCTCTCTCATAGTTAGTAGAAGCTATAGAGTTATTTATTTGGTTTTGTTTTCATGTTCCAATTATTTAATGTGGGTTTTCCATTATCTATTATCCAACAGAATAGATAACTTTACAGTGCAGTCTTAAATTATTAATTGTAAGTAAATCCCACTGAGCACAGTACATAGCATTATCTTGAATTCTTATCCATCAATTCCTATATATATATGCAGCTTTTATCCTCAGAGAAAGACTTCAAATTCTTATGGAACCATTGTTATTTAATATGAACAAAAAGTTCAGACTACTGTAGTGGTTATCCAGCCTGTAACTCTTCCTTACTTCCATCCAAATAAATCATTAATTTGATGGCCATTTCAATTACTAGAGAGAAATAATAAAAATCCTGTGGCTGTGTTGGCTGCAGCAAGCTGGTATTTTGTCAGAATGACAAAATATGACATCATGACATCACAATACAAATTCTGACCTGACATGACACCATGACATAAGTACAAGAGAAACTGAGTTCATACTGCAGCACACACTTAATTTGCCTGTCTTGAATGCCTGTTTTTTGCCTGTTTTTTTTTCTTATTTGTTTAATAATAGGCATTGTTGCTGATTATTGTGGGGAACCTGGACTACATAGAACAAAAAAAAAAAAAAAAGCAGTGAAAAGCATCCATTATTAATTTTCTGTAAGTGCTCACAAATGACAAAATGAATATCATTTTGGAAGAATGGGTTATCAACAAGACTTTTTTTATTTTGCTAATCAACCAAAGAACTGTACAAATGAATATAATAGCATTAAAGTTTCAATACACCCTCAACATTGGAAATTAAAAATGCTAATAAAAAGGCAAAAAGAAGAAAAAAAGCTGAAAATTATGTTACAAACAGAACAACTCCAAAAACCTGTGAATGTATTGCTCAAATATTATCTTTCTTACCCTCTGTTGGGAAGATTAGCTGTTGACAGTTAATATAAATCAAAAACTGCTGCTGCAGATTAAGTGTAAATTTCTCATTGCAGTGCTGAATCCTTTTAGTTAAAACTCATGCCCCCAAATCCACAATTCTTGTATCTTGATAAGTCACGAATACTGGGGATATATCCAAGAAGAAAATGTATCTAACATACAGCAACTGATCCAGACTCATATTAAAAATCCTGTTGATGTCAGCCTTAAATGCAACAATTATAAGACATGACTAAAGCATATGGTTCAAACTTCCAACTGTGTACAGTAATAATTTATCAGATTTTCTTTGTCCTGGCATTGTTTTTTCTCCTATGCAATATTTTAGAAATTAAAAGAATACTGTACAGGACGTTCTGCCTCCAATGTAAATATGCAAAATAAGTAGTATTGCAAGCTACATAGATAAATATTATCACTGAGCTTCATCTAAACTGGAAGGGAATTGAGAAAGTCTGAAACATTCTTGTTGGCACAAAATAGCAGAGAATTTTTCAAGTACACATGGGAGCTCCTGATAGTAAGGGGACTAATTGTTTTAATATCATATGCAACACAGCTGGAGAATCCTTAGCCCACAAAGCCTTTTATTCATCTCCCAAGGCAACCAGTTCTCAAAATTCCTATATCCTACCTATCCCTAAGGGATGCGGTGGCTTAGTGGCGAAGACGCTGAGCTTGTCAATCAGAAGGTCAACAGTTCAGTGGTTCGAATCCCTGGTGCCGCCTAAGGAGGTGAGCTCCCGTTACTTGTCCCAGCTTCTGACAACCTAGCCATTCGTAAGCATGTAAAAATGCAAGTAGAAAAATAGGGTCCACCTTTGTGGGAAGGTAACAGTGCTCCATGCACGTTCGGCATTGAGTCATGCTGGCAACATGACCATGGAGATGTCTTCAGAAAGCACTGGCTCTTCATCTTAAAAATGGAGATGAGTACTGCCCCTACAGCTGGAAGCTAGCATGCATGTGTGGGGGAACTTTTACCTATCCCTCAGAGAAATGATATGGCAGTGGAGGAAAAATTAATCCCTTTGTCAGTTGCCAGACTATTCAGTTTCCTCTATGTATAGTATAGGAGAACAATTCCATTATTTTTGTCTACAGAAAAAAGGGATGGGCTGGCCATAGCATGAAAGTAGGCTTCTTTCAGACAACTCTCAAAAGTCCTACCTTACAGTGTAGGCTAGGATTGCATTGATACCTGTATGTGATTTTAAAGGAAGCAGGTCATGGTGTGAAATGAAATAGTAGAGCTACAAGAAGTAACATCTTTTGAGATGTTATTAACATTTAGGAAAAAACAGATGCAACATACCAGAAAGAACAGAAGTCAGGTATTCGCAAAATACCGTATTTTTCGGAGTATAAGACGCACTGGAGTATAAGATGCACCTTAATTTTTGGGGAGGAAAATAAGAAAAAAGCTGATTGGCAGGTGGATTGGCCTACCGGAATACCCCCAATCAGCTGTTCCCAGAGGTGAATTTTAGCAACAGGATCCTTGGTTGTGAGCTCTGTGCCTTGCTTTTTTTTTTTTTTTCCTGCTTCTGAAAACCTCCGAACTTCAGAAAGAGCTTCAGAAAAAAAGCCTCTAAAGCTCTGTTTGGAGGCTTTTTTTCTGAAGCTCTGTTTGGGGGCTTTTTTCCTGAAGCTTCATTTCTGATGCTTTTTCCCGCCTCTGAAACCTCCGTTTGAGAAGCTGGGCAGGGCTACATTCAGAGTATAAGATGCACCCAGATTTTCACCCTCTTTTTGGGGGGGGAAGTGTGTCTTATACTCCAAAAAATACAGTAAGGTAAACAAAAATTGGTTTGTCATTGAACAGGCTAATGGGTGACTTCAACATTCTATGGAGTCAACAGCTTCTGAAGTAGCTCATGATCTTGCAGATCCTATGACATTCTTTCTCTTGACTGTCAGCTTCCAGAATATAAGCAAAGGTAGTGACGGCCAGGAAGATTGGTTACAACATCTAATCAGCCTAAACAGGAATTTGGATTTAAATGGGAGATGACCAGGAAATATTAGGACTATAGATTACGCCAGGATTTCAAGAAAACATCCTAGAACAGGGGTATCAAACTCGCGGCCCATGTGTCATGCGCTGGCCACACCCACCCCTGGTTTAGTGAAGGGGGAAAGTCGCGATACATCACATAACAACAATGTGACACCATGAGTTTGACACCTCTGTCCTAAAAGGAGGCAAAATCAAATCTCCTCTGTTCTGGTTCTAACAAAGCTACAAAAATATGTCCGTAAAGAAACCAGGAATCAAGTTTCACTTGAAGAAGGTTTTTTCAAATGAACACAAAAACAGACATGAAAAAGGTGACTTTAGTTGAATGTACTTAGGGTGAGTTACAACAGAGTAACAAAAAGTGCAGATACATTTAGTAAAGCAATAGCATTTAGACTTATATACCACTTCATAGTGCTTTACAGCCCTGTCTAAGCACTTTAGAGAGTCAGCATATTGCCCCCAACAATCTGGGTCCTCATTTTACCGACCTCGGAAGGATGGAAGGCTGAGTCAACCTTGAGCAGGTGAGAAGCAAACTGCTGGCAGTCAGCAGAGTTAGCCTGCAATACGGCACCTTAACCACTGCGCCACCACGTCTCATTTAATACATTTCAGGCAGATCCCATCAGTTAAAGACCTCCGACTGGCAGGGTCCAGGAAGAGAGTCTTCTCAGCTGTTGCCCCCATCATGTGAAATATTTCCAACACCCCCCACAGGGTGGATAAAAATCAATGTTTTTTTAAAAAAAATAAAAAAAATTATTTAAATAGGATTTTTTTTATTTTTATCGAATTTATTTTAATAAAAAAAAATTGGGGTAAAAATCTATCGTAAGATAGTTTTCTATTTAAGATACATACATAATTTAGTTTATTCAGCATGAAATGGAGCTTAGTTATGTAGCATGAGGCTGTATATTCTGCAACACTGGGACTATCGGTGAGTCAACAGTGGGTCAAAGGAGTAGCAGAGATGACAGTTGCTCTTTAAAAATTATGATTTTACGAGTTGATTTAAATCAAGCCTTTTTACTAGTGATTTAAATCATGATTTAAATTGTGATTTAAATCAACTCGATTTAAATCAAATCCACCCTGACCCCCCAGAGGTAAAATAGGCCCCCACTCTCCTGCCTTCCAACAAGGAGTTAAAGCATGGCTCTGCAGTCTCATGTGCAGAGCCCAAAAGAGCATGCAGCCATGAGGCTGGTTGATGACCTGCTTCCTTCACCTTTTTAACATGGTCTAATTATTCTTGCTTCTTTCCAAAATCTTAATTCTAACATTTTAATCTTGATATACTGTGTTCATATTTCAATATTTTATTGTACACTGCCCAGAGTCCCTCTTTGTGATAGGTAGGTAGGTAGGTAGGTAGGTAGGTAGATAGATAATTAATTAATTAATTAATTAATTAATTAATTAATTAATATGATTATGGAAGTATATTTTTAACATCCATGATAAAATAATTTATTCAAGTTCATGAGACAGATGCACATACGGCATGTATGAAATATACAGAATATACAAATTCACACATTTCTGCATAAATATATGCATATATCAGTTTGTATATTATATATATTTGTGAGGGCATGTGTCATCCAACAAGTGAAGAAAGAATAACAAGAAACAGTTTTTATTTAGAATGCAGAAACATGTAGGATGACTTTCGGTTTTGCTTTTTTTTTTTTTTTTTTTTTAATTTGATTTATATGCCGCCCTTCTCCGGAGACTCAGGGCGGCTTACAATGTGCTTAGCAATAGCCTTCATCCTTTTGTATATTTATACAAAGTCAGCTTATTGCCCCCACAACTGGGTCCTCAATTTACCTACCTTAGAAAGGATGGAAGGCTGAGTCAACCTTGAGCCTTGGCGAGATTCGAACCTGCAGTAATTGCAGGCAGCTGGTCTTAATAATCAGCTTAATAACAGGGTGCCTTAGACCACTGTACTACCAAGGCTCTTGCTTTTAATTTCTTACAGATGTTGAGAAAATCACATTTTCAGAAAAGGCTAGAAACATTGATCACTGATTAATTAAAATCAAGCATTTAATGACCCATGAATTTCAATTTAACAGCTGAACAAAAGGTTTACAGGTAATCTGACTCTGACTGGATTATGCCCACAGTTTTCAGACAGGGCTGCATTTTATTCTCAGAAGAACATTAAGACCACTTATTTTGCAATGACCAGAAAACTGCCTATTTTGGTACCATTACAGAAATACTTAACTACCCTTTCCTGTCACTAAAAATAAATAATTAGGTAACATTTTTTTTTTCTTCTTAACTGCCTAAGGTAGCTGCTTCAATTTGTCCAATTCTAGGGCCTGGCGGGACATTATTTGTTCGAATCAAACAACTATTGAGATCCTAGAATTGTTTCATTGATTATTGTCAATGAGTAATAATGGTATCATTTAAACATGCTTGCTGTGTAAATACACTGGAAGG